GGGCGAAAGTTCGACAGACAGAAATTTTCCATGTATTACATTTAAGTACATGTACTTTCCAGCATTTGAGGACAACATGTGCTATATACAGCAGAGTGTAAAATGAATTTATCATGTAAATATTTCTATTTGTATGCAACCATGGCCTTAAAACTCAAAGAAATTTGTTAAATGTGTTTCTTGTGTATATCGGTATTTTAAAAAAGTCTACAGCTGAAAGTAACACACACAGAGTGTAATTAATCTAAAATAAAAAAGAAACATATGATCGCAGTTGTGAAAAATGCGCGTTCAAATGGGCAAATAGTCCTTAACATTTCACGTATATTTCAATTTACAATGGCAGCGGCCTTACTACCTTAGTAGACTCTGAAGGTGTGGAACAAAAAAAGATCTAAACAATCTCCTTCATGCCGACCTTCTAGACCCGTCCTTAATCATCTGAAGTGGAGGGACTCCTAGACTGTAGGATGTGGTAAGATAAGCATTGTTCATTAGACGTAATGATTAACTGTATGCATTGTGTTCGAACGCGAGTTTACATTCAAATTTTAAAATAGGAAATAAACTACAACAAGTTTTCATTATTTGAAAATCTCCTGACGAAATATGAAATTGAACTTGTGAAACAACAAGTCTTGAAAAGTCCATTTTTCTTTTCGCCCTTTCTTCTTTAATAACTTCTTTGTTATACTCCTTATTTTAATTTTCTGGTGTCTTTTTGTACAAAATTTTAGTTCCCATTGTTTCCTTGCGTATAAACGCTATAGTTTAATAACTTATTTGTATACCCCTGCAAATAAATCTTTATATGGGAGTACATTGGAGTATCCGTTTGGCTGGCCGTCTATAGCTTCAATGGTTTCCGGACCCTAACGATTCGTCTCTTATTTGAAAATTCAATCAGCGAAGACTTAGCAGAGTTATAATTTAGCCTCCAAAGATTAGCATACGCATTTACGATATCTAGTTGAGCTTGGAGATCCGTGATGCTTCCAGCTAATAAGAGCGTGTCATCAGCTAATAATACGCAGGGGATATGTAGCTTTTGAATCTGTAAACCCTTTTCCGCTTCATCCAGAGCACACGCGAGACCGTTTATCATAATGAGGAATAGCCAGGCTGATAAAGTTCTCCCTTGACAGACCCATTGCTTAACTGGATAGTCTTTGCTAATTTTTCAAACATACAGTACACGCGAGGTCACGTTTTGAAACGAATTTTGCAGTATTCTTCAAAATTTACCATTAAAACCGAGTCTATACACCTTATGTAATAGCCCGTCTATCCATACACTGTTAATGCTTTTGTATTGTCCAAGAAGGCAGCAAATACCTTTGCCCTATTTTCGATATAGTGACATATCGATTCCTTGACAGTGAACGCTGCCATAATACTTCCACATTCTGCTCTAAATCCCTGTTGTAGTATATGCGGAAACTGCATTTCAGCACGACGAACTGTTAACCTCTGATATGTAACTTTTTCGAATAGCTTTTGCAGAACTGGTGTTAACGTGATGCCTCTATAATTGTTTTATTCAATTTGTCATTATTGCCGCCTTTGCATAATGTTATTACTATACCTTTTTTAAAATGTACTGGGTATTCCTCATTTGTTAGTATTTGATTGAAGAGTATAACGATCGCGTCTAGCAGACTTTTACCACCGTAACGAATATGTTCGATGACTATATCATCATGTCCTCCCGCTTAACCATTTTCCATACTCTTGATCGCTGTCGCAGTTTCACTTATTGAAATAGCTCGATCGCAAATACCACCACTATTTGCAAAGCTTCTGACGAACATATCGTGAATATCTATCTGTATCTTAGCCCGATGACTATCATCAAAATTGGTTTGCTCAGACGGTAGAGCTAACTTACTATAGTGCTCAAACAAAATATTCTTTAGTTCATCTGGATCGCGGATGATTTTATTGTCAACTTTAAGTCTGAACATCTGTAACCATTACATTTTCTTGCCCGAACAGCCTTATAGAATGTGCCGATATCAACTTCAGCTGCTTCCTGCAGGTGGTCGAGTTGCTGTAGTCGACGGCATCAATACCCCGAAGACATATAGAAACGACTTGTCCACCAGTTGTACTGAGACCCCTATCATACGATCATTCCCTTCGTTCATCAGGGGCGATATATTCAGGCTGTTCGTATAGCTCCCTTGCTTCTGTTAATGCTTTACGAAAGATGGTTTTTGAATCCTTATAATCTTTGCATGATTTATGCAGTTCTTTAACACTTCCGAAGTTCCAATATGGTTTTAAGTATTTACGACACTGCTTAACTGGCAATGTAGCTTTCGCTGAATCCTTTATCGCGGAAACAATAATCTGTACTTAGCTGTCGAGATCATCTAAATCCTTCGCCTCGCGGAGTTTAGTAGTATTACCGATCATCTGCGCTACTTTGCCGGCATAAGCAACCTTTTGCTCGGAAGACACGTTTCTCCAATTGACGGCCTTTGACGACAATATATCTCTATGTGTGTTACTTAAAGTACAACAGAATTCTAACGACACAGGTAGATGATCAGATGCATTAAGAAAATGATCGTCGTGTATTTCGCACGTTTTCACATCATCTAAATCATGTGTTCCACGATACATAAGTCACATCACCTCCTTTCGACCACTGTTGAGAATTAACAGAGATGAGATAGTTTTCAATAGTAAGAGTCTCAAGGAGTTTATCTCTGTCGTTTGCCTTGTAGCGATTCTTTTTACCAAACCGTTCCGATATACGTCCATTAAAGTCGCCAAGAATAATAACGGTCCCTTGTTCGCTATACCGTTGATATAAATCAGACAGTGCTTGTAACGTTTCTCGGTACAGAGTCATAGATAGATTAGTCGACGGCATCAATACCCCGAAGACATGTAGAAACGACTTGTCCACCAGTTGTACTGAGACCCCTATTATACGATCATTCCCTTCGTTCATCAGGGGCGATATATTCAGGTATTTCTTCCAAAGAATCGCAATTCCACCAAACCCCTCGGATGCGTCCTCAGTTCCAACTCTATAGGATTACGTGAATCACTCCGTCCAAACGAGTCAAAACTACAGTCAATACTGTTTAGAAAATTAAGCTGCTCTGGCGGTAACCAATGTTCCGTTATAAAAGCAATGTCCGTATCGCGAAGAATCTCGCCTAATAAAGGGGTGCCGTACATAACCCCTCGAGTGTTCCACGAAAGAAGCTTTACGATAAAAAATAGAAAGAACGAGAGCATCAACACAGAGTTAATCACCACGAGTATGGACTGTTGGAACGACTACCGTAGTTATCTTCCCGTTCACCCCCGCGATTTTTGTACCGAATATCGCCACGATCCTCCCACTCGCGTACAAGAACGCCGTCCGGCCAGAAATACGGATCGGTTGCCGTTGCGAAATCATCTTCGTAATCATTTATGCGTGCTGTGTAAGGAGGATAGTCTGTGTCCCAGAACTTAATAATACGCATCATAGTGACGTTAACTCCTCTTTCCCCTGCGTATGTCCTTACAGAGCTCACAACTGCATCTGCAGTGGCATCTGCAGTAATACGCTATATATTTTAGGATCTAAAGGTATGATATGATTGTAAATGTGACTGATTGAACGAAAACCATTGCCTTACTCGGCGTAAAATATCGTAATATATAATATCTAGTGTGGTATTTGACACTTTACACCTTGAAGTTTCACAAAATCGCTTCTATCATGAATTAATTAAGAGGATCCCTATTGAAATTGGCATCGAACAGTCTTGTTGAAGGCTACGTTGAGGACATCACGTTGATCGCCCAATTGCCCGTTGATCGCATATAAAATGTATAATGGTCCTCAAAATTGAAAATACCTGGTGTCTGAATATTTAATGTTAAAGGCCACAACTAATCAGACATCGTGCTGAAGTATGCTATTGATCCCAACTTTCCTTCAATGATTTTCCAATTGTCACTGGTCACTGTAAACCAACTCGAAAAATTCCGTTTTATCTTATTTTAAATTCCAGTGCATGTGTTCTGTTAACCATTTCTTTTCTGCACTTAGCTAGTCCCCACTAATTCCTCAGAAACAAATGTAAACCTTACAAACATGGATAAAAATTCTCTGAATTATTGATTGGAAATTCGAGAAAAAAAATCCAAACGTTCCAGTTCGCAAATGTACACTGATCAGGCTACACAACGTGTTGTTACACTGGCAAAGTTCCCGGATCAAGCAAACCCGTTGTATTGGTTCTAGTAGTCATTTTTAGCAATTACTTTCAAATTTTAAGAGTACAATTATAGATTCAAGCGGAAGTGTTGACGAACGGACGCTTCCCTTACCATAACACGTCTCATCAACCTTTGACGCCCGTATTAAAATGGAGAAAAAATCGCTTTAACATGTTACCGTACGTTAGATCATAAATCACATTTACACTTTCCTAAATATGACGGGATTCACCATAAGTAAGCAACGATGTTATTGAGGAAACACCGGCTCTTGTTTCGACTCCAATGTTTATTATGTTCGGGTTTTTGAAGTGTTTGTTGGGTCTTTTCTCAGTTTCCGTTGTTTTCATATCGATGTTGTCTTTGATTATTTGCAGTTGTTTGCCTTACTAATTGAAAACAAGACATAAGTATGATATGTAGGTTTTGTTTTAATGATTACTGCAATGATGAACAAAAGAAATTTCTGACATTATAGTTTCAGCAACAATGTATTAAATTCTGCTAAACAGAGCTCACTTTTACCAGGTAAAAACTATGGATCATCAGGGAACACTGATTCTGCCACTAGACACATCTAAACCCCTAAAACAGATCGTTTCTTAAATCGCCATTTGCCAAGGTAAGATTTCATCATGCAAAAGTCGTGTAACATAAACTTTTCGAAGTCGTTTCAAGAGGTAATGTAGATGTTTATTTTGTAGCCGAAAAACACTTGATTTTATTTTGCTCTGCAGCACTACATTTTTACAAAATAACGAAAAGCCAAGTAAATCACAATTGTTTGTTTATTATTGTTTTACAGTACCCAAGACCTACCTACATATTGTTAAACTACCAAAGCTGTGAGTGGGAACAAAACAGGTCGTCATCTTCGAGAAGGGGTAAGTTGCTAATGATTAATTTCACCCAGATACCACAGAAATACAAGTTACATGGATGATAATATCCCAACACTCGTGTGTAACTACAAAAGGAGTGGAGGAAATAACTTCAATTATAGCAATATCAATAAATGAAACAATGGTGATTTTTAGACTTTTTGTATAGAGGAAGTATTTCTTCACGGAAACCCAGTAAACTAAGATCTTCGTTGTACAAAGCAAACTTGACGCTCTAGCTCATCATTAAATCACATTTCTACTAATTTCCAAAAAATCAAATCTATTCCTGCAAAAAGATTCACGAAGTGAACAAATTTGATGATCACGTTGTTAGTATCTTCATACTACCCATTGTCAATAGCCATGGTCCGCCAACATACATTATATTTCAACAAATAATCTGAACAGACCAAAAAAAATCTTTCCTAAAATCTGAATTTCCAAAATACTGTTTTCACTTAAAAGAATCCTGACGACAAAGCAAGTATTGAGCATACAATGTTGATGATTAACAAAGAATATAAATAACTAAATTTGCAACACCATGTAAACATAACGAACAACTAGCATAGCACTTGACCTACTTCTAAACATTTACAAGTTTCGGGTACAGAATTGGCACTGGTTTCGTAAACGTCAAGATATTTGTACTGTATAATACACGCAATAGATAAATTGCCTTTATCGTTGTGACTCAGATGTGCTGAACAGCCTAATAGGAGCAGCCAACACCTGAAAGCACATGCTATATAATTATGAAGACGTGGTTTCAAACGTTGAACCAAACTCTTTTACTTTGCATCGAAGCCAGGTACAAAATGATTATCAACTATTTGCTTTCGAGAATAGCAACTGTCTTCCGAAATTTCGGTATTATGAGTGCATACTTCAAAGCGATCATTAACATCCCAATGATGTTATTCACGAGATTTCTGGCTCAAAAACATTCCTGTAGTGGGCGATGTTGTTAAAGATGTTCGGTGCCAACATGAAACCGAACTTATTTCATCATTTGAACATATAAACAGACATCAAATAGCAGACATTCATCTTCAGATTGAAAAAAAAAATACTTGTCTGTAATACTGTAGAAGTTTCCATAATCATCTTAATAGGTAATTAGACATCACATCTTAATCATACGTCTATTAACTTGAAGAAGTTAAAAGTAAATTCTTGAAAGATTTACTAGAAATTCTTCGGCATAATCTCAGAATTAATGTTTACCTAAAAACCAATGACCTACAAACGTAATAGAAATCTTAAGAGAGCTGATCTATAAATCATTGTCCTCTATTTGTCATCATACAATATCATTATTTACAAAAAGACTTGGCTTTGATGCAAAAGAAACAGCCTTGTACCAATATATACATAACATAACTTAGCTTTATGATGTAATTTTAATGAAAATCACAGCTCTTTAATGCATAGGCGCCCTCTTATGTATATGATATTCTAAAAATGGTTTATGATAAAAAATATCAATGAGTATATAAATTACATATTAGACATCAAAATTCAGCTAAGTAGAAGTCTTGTAACTTAAGTAAGGTGGCAAGATGATCCTCTGATATCAACTCGTATTTTTTGTTAATTTTTCTAGATAATTTTGTCCTAGCCTTTGTAAGCAAACACACTGTAAGTAATTTTAGGACACTTTTTAACATTGGAATCTCGTCAATCTAGACAGGTTTTTTCGAGAAAGATACAAATGTCTTTAAAGTGCTATTTCATAGACACTTACTTTTGTGAATTTTTTAATTATTAACGAGATTCCATTGTTGTCACAAATATATCTTAAGCCATCTTCCTCCCTCAAAAGTACCAACATATGCATTCGATATTGAAAGAAAACCAACAACCAAGGTTATCATAGCACATACAAACATCGGACACAAAATTGAATAAATTACATCAGTAGTAATGATGCCTCTATAAGTCTAACAAAACAAAATATTACAAAGTAAGCCTAACGATTCATTCATTTTGGTCTTCATAGCTTACAAATTGTATTTATTGATGGGGTAAATATAAACAGAGAACATCAGCTATAATAACAACGAAAACCGTGACACCAGTATTGACAGCATGCATGTTAATTAAGTATCTGTGATTACCTTCTATATACCCGGTCCATATACTCCATACGTTTCTCATTCATTTTCAAGTATACCTACAATTTTACTTATCAGATACAACCTCAAATTGTCTTGCATAGCAAATTCTAAACATCGTCAATTGAAAATTTAGATACCAAATACATAATTTATGAATGGTGCTATGCTAACACTAGAAACGTTTATTTCATTCAGTTCTATAATCGAAACAAAATACTTTTTTGCAGATTCCCTGAACGCAACTTTTCTTTTAGAAAATCGTTTTCCTTTACAATTTTAGGGGGAAAAAATTCTTACACTACCAAATGTTGTGTAATTGAAATTTAGTCTTCTGGAACAAATCATTTCCCTTATTCTGTACTGAAATTCCAATATATATGCTATTTAAGAAAAAGAATTTAGATGAGGATTGTTTTTAAGATGCTTTCATAGGGAGATTTTTTCATATAAAAATTGATTTTCAAGTTTTTCACTTTTTCTTCATAATAAATTTTGCATTTTTTGAACATCATTTAATTTGTAATGTGTATCAAGCAAAGCAATGCATGGCTGTATATCTGAGGACTAGGAGTTTTTCATTGTTAAACGCCAAGGAAAAAATAGTAAGCAACATATATATAGAAATATCCACATGCAATAGTATATATATATATCATACAAAATAACAATTGATTTGTGCAGTAACTTCTTAAAAATGCACATGAAATGGACTAGATTTGCGTTGAAATGAATATTCATTCTTACCCATAAATAAACACACATACTTAGATAAGATAACATTTTGTGATCAATTTGATTAAAAGTGAAAAAATAAATTCTAACTGTTTTATACAGGAAACAAAACCAGGCAAACTAAAAAGTTCTTTTTAAATAACGAAATATGATTTCCTTCAACAAGAACATTTGCAAAGATGATATTTTTTGTAGTCACAAGTTTAAATCAATTGCATAGTTTATAGTTTCTAATTGGGTTTTCTCTCTCTCTAACAATCTTTTGTCTTTTCTGATTTCTTCTGTTAGATGATAATAGAGTGATACACATGATGTTTGTTAAAACTAAATTTAGGACCAACTGTGTAAACATAAAATTCACCCAATGCTTAATATGCTTTCAAATTAAGTAGCTTTGATTCACAGTCCATCTCCGATGCGACATTGATGTTGTCACAGTATCCAAATAAATACTACACATTAATTAACTTCCAGATTGGCTGTTGGATTCATCAAAGAATAACAGAAATATCATTGAAGATTACAGCAAACAATAACATCCATGAATTCAGCAGGGATATTTGAAGTAACAATTGAAAGACCACAGGTCCAATAAGGGTATGTTTATAAACTCCTAGGTAACTTCTTTCTACATAACTGACTGGATATGAGTTTAGGAACAAGCCCATTCCCCATTATGATACATCTAAATAGTTTGTTTGGGCTTACCACTGGTTAAAAATATGAAAAAAAAAATGTAACAGAAATCTCATTCCAATCATCTTATACTGGATTTGTTTCTTTATCTAGATTCTACTAGTAAATTATTTTAGTCTTCCATCAGAAACAATATTTCAGATACATGAATTAATTGCCATCCTTAACTTGTATAATAAATAGTTAATCCATTCAACAACTCTGTCATATGCATTAAAATATATATTTATAAATATTGTTAACTACGGATGCAGTAATACTTGATCTTTGATAATATTTGTTAGTTCACATTTCATTATACAGTTGTTAAAAATTTGAACACTATTTCAATAACAATTCTTCATACAAATCATGAAGCTATTTTCTTCATGCAAATATCACCAAAAATACAAATTAAACAACAATTGAAAACTGCAGTTCACGTTAGTTTTTCCTTAGGTGTCTTTAAATAAAATTGAATTACCTGTAATTGTGAAACAGAACGGCCTCTCCAACGATACTTTTTTTTCAAATCAAAACAAATTGCAATATTCATCAGGCCACGGATCACATTTATCACTACTGCTAGTAATACATTGTATAAATGTACCCCAAACAAGCTGTAGGACGCTATCAATTCAAACAACTACAATTTAATAAAAAAAAACATATTCCCCCAAATCATCATGATATTTGTTTTACTATTAAGAAATAAATAAAACCTTTCCATAAACTAAAAATCAACCCAAAAAAAATGAATTCTGCAGTTAATTTTTGTTTGATAAGGGTCATTTTAAACTTGGGGGAATCAGAGATTCATTTTTTAACCAATGTTTTTTTAAAATCCAAAATATTGCTTTCATAGAGATAATGTGTGAATAAATGGTATATGCTATTTTATATATCACATTTGGTAATATCATGGTTTTCTAAAACACCCATTTCTCAATACATTGTATAGTGCATTTACTTTTTTTGACATTCCGTCTCTTAATATCATGCTTTATTGCAATATATCTAGCATATTGCATGTAGGATTACGCAGGTTAAAATATAGTCTTTTCTTGCTTTTATTTTACAAATCATATTGCTGTATAGTAATGATATAGCAGTTGATTAAGTGTCATTAATGACAATGCTTAGTAAAAAAAGGTGGAAGCATGCAAGTAACATCAGAATTTGATTTCTTAAGTTGAATGCAAGTTGACACTTTTAAAAGTTTTAAATTTTATTCAAAAAGTGGTTTGGTTTCTTTTTTCAAAAGAACAAAATGTTTTTCTTGTTAAGGTTACATTCAGACCAGAATAATCACTGCATTGCATTTAGCACTTCCAAGTGACACATCAGAGTTAATGGTCTGCACTGTGTTTGAGATTTGTGGCTATCTTTTTTAAATACATTTTTTATAGATATATATATATATAATTTGCAAAACATCTAATAATTGTGAAATATCCAAAAGAAACAATTTCAATAGTCTTGTGAACCTTTCAATCTGCTAAGAAAATGTTTTCTTTTATAAAATATATTTTATAAGATTCAGAGTGGGAAACTCTTTCGTCATGTAATGTTAAACAGATATAAACTTCAATGTTTTCTCCGAGCCCTTCAGTACATGTGCGTAAATAGAGCTTACTGCATAGACTTTGCATAAACAATTATTGTATCGGTAGACAATTACCGGACAGCAGATTGCACCAACATGATTGTGTTTCTGCAGACAGAGATCTCAGAGGTAGTCATTCAGGGAAGCCATAATATTGCAATAATAAACATGTGAAAGTTAATTCCACTGTAAAAAGTATTCCTAGTAATTTAAACACAGCACAACTACGCCACTTGTTCTGCAGGTAAAATGAAACCAGGTGTAGTAAGTGAAATTTGATAAGAAGAGAGACAAACTTTTAGTAATTAACCCGTATACAAAGTAAGCCTAGACCAAAGTCGATGATATTGTAAATTCAACTTGATTTAGTTTTTACGTGTCATCTGTGGATCCAAGCTCACAATGGTCCAAGGGATACAACTCTTATTCTCAAAATAACATAATTCCAACTATGACAGCCTGTTTTCTACTTTTATCACACACCTGTTGAATCTTGTTATAGTAATACAAGCAATTTTCAGACCATGAAATACAACTTCTGTATTGCACAACTTAAACCTGTAACATGTGAACTTATAGTTGGGAAATAAATAAATTCTACAAAGTTTTCTGGTTCTATTGTAGTAGGAGATTAATTATTTTTTCTATCCTAACAAACATTAGCACTTCAGCTAAACTTCATCTTGAAATGTAAACAATTACACAACATCATTTCATAGAAGTGAGATATAAAAGAGACATGTTTTCAATTTTTAACATTTACAATGAAAACAATCATAGGTAACAAATTACAAAAACGTACAGAAATGTATGTACGAAAATTTCAGTCCCACGCCATCTTTAACATTAAAGTGTGCTTGCTTATCTTGCACATGTTACTTGTGAAACTATTTCTTGCACAACACATGAGATGTGAGTGTTCTATGGTAACCATAGTAAACATAATGAATGCTTCAGCCCGTTACCTCACGGTAATACACTCCTCCATACATTAAAGATTACCAAGACTTCTATGTCTACAGGGGTTCGATGCTGTCAGACATTGCACTGAATCGGTAGAAAAAAACAATGTTCACCATAACAGCAACAATTACATTTCATAATTTCAAGACTCAAAAGTCGCCAAGAAAAAAAGAAAAGTCTGGATTTAAAATCTTTATAAAGTTGTTTAATATCAAGCTGTTTGGCAGAGAGAAAAAAATAATGTCATTATAAAAATGAATGTATTTTTTTCTTCCTCAATGAGCAAAATTTCTTCTACGACATATTTATATTAATATCTATTTCATATTAAGCTATTTCTTAAGAAATAGTTTACCTGTAAGTTTTTTCTGGCTTCAATCAATTCAATTCAGTGTGAGATACATTCATGACAAATTGTATTCGAGGAAAAACAACTGAGACATAAAACCAAAACAAACGTTGTGACTTTCTACCATACTTCAACCATGTGTCACTGTGAACAAAAGTCTAAGTCCTTAATACATAAACCGACAAACACAACTTATCCATGAAACATGTGATGAAAATACAGATGATGAAATGGACAAAAAATAGTCATCAAACAATTAACAGCTAATACCAACTCCTTAAATCCCAAAAAAACTGTTAATGACTTTCAGCAAAAATATATTTTTTTCATTTTTATGGACAAATAAAATATATAAATTTTGTATAATAATCACATGAATAAATCAACATCGATATTAAGTGATTCTATCAACTTATTTTGCCTACACAAAACATACGTACTCTTGGAAAATGAATAGGGTGGCATGGCTTCCATCCAAATGACAATGATAAAATGTTAGGCCGATAAAGCTTCCATCCATTTGACGATAATTAAATATATTCAATCAAAACTAGTCACACATTCCATCTAGGTTAACAGTGTATCAATGTTCTGAGGAACATTATATATAAAAAAAATAAAAATTAGTGGAATGTTTCAAAAACATTCATCCAGTTTTCATGAGAAAAAAAATTAACATTAAATGTTGATGAAAACTTATACAATGTACCATGAACATCCAATTCAAGTATTAAATGGAATAATTGTTATCAATTCTACATGAAGAAATTCATCACTTTTTGTTAAGAAATATTCATCCACACATGCAAATATAATTTGCTCAAAGATAATTACAATATTCTTTTTATAGAAGAAATATAGTTATTCAAAAAGTGAATGTAACAAAGAATATTCATTAAGATTGAAGATATTCACCCACCTAACATCCATTGAACACACTGGCCCCAAAACCCCAGTGCCTGAATACTGCTATCACTGCACATGTCCTGTCCGACTACACCACAGCTGACTCCAGTTTGTTTTGCGTAGGAGATTTTGTACTAGACTCGGGTCGATTGCTGCCTCTCTGTGCACCATCGCCCTGACTTCCAGGGGAGTTCCTGGGTCCCCCGGGACCATCTTTCCTAGGACTCCTGGGTCTTCCTGAACCACGCCCCCTTGGACTGCCTCTACTGCCACGCCCTCCGGACTGTGACTGACGACCGATATGGACAGTGTTGTCAGGTCCTTGTGGAGTCTTGCTACTGTTGTAGTATTCATTTTGTCGACGACCTCCGTCTCTGTTATACCCTCCTCTAAAGCCTCCATCGTTATTGTACCCCTCTCTGGAGCCTCCATCATTATTGTAACCCCCTCGAGAGCCTCCGTCCCCACCATAGCCACCTCTTGGTCCATCATAACCCCCTCGAGAGCCACCTTCCCCACTATAGCCACCCCTTGGTCCATCACGTCGAGGTCGTTGCCGACGGCCTCTGCGTTGGTCATCTACAATATGTAAAGTATGCTGATTTTACTGCACATTCCCACATTTTACGTTAACTCTACGAACTAAACAGAAATTAGATCAACACCATTGTAAATGTGCTCCCAATTATTTCCAATTTCTTCATATAATAATGACAATCATGATTGATTGTCTCTAAACTTAGATAATTAAGCTGATCAACTTTTAAAACTTATTCATCAGGAAAATGCTAGATATATTATACCGATTATCTCTTTAGGGGACTATAAAATTCCGGGGTTGTGAAGAGAATATTACAGTCCTTTCTAAAGAGTCTATACAGGTGTTATGACCATGTAAACAAACATCACAGCCCCTTTTCCTGACACAATAACGAAGTCATTAGTATTAACAATACTCACATGCACCACGAGTCGAGGATGCTTGCCCAGACTGAGAAGGCTGCTCAGAGGCAGGAGCTGTGGCTGGCCTGCTACTCTCGTTTGTATTTGTACTGTCCAGGCCCTACACAGGGGAGACAACTCACATTTGTAATACGTCACGAAGGAAAGGATAACTTGGTGGATGCTGATGATTTTGTTATCTTGATGGATGAAGGATTTTTTTAGACTGTATTTAGCTGTTATAATCAGTGTATTACTTTTAGGTACTTGTTTTCAACGTAAAATAAAAAAAGATTTTCCCGTGTTCAGAAAAATTCAACAAAATTCTATAATCATTACTATTTCAAATTAATGCCTTCAGAACAACAGAATATACAAGATATAACATAATTGAAGTTGGCACTGAACATAGAATAAGTGTAAAATATCAATATCTTGTGAAATAGAATTGCTTTACAGTACTTTTCAAAAACAAAATTTTCAAAAAACCTAAAATTCTACAATAATTTCAACATGAAATCAAATTTACTTTCAAATCTTGTTTCAGTTACCTGTAGTTTTAACGACCCCTTCAATCTTTTTTGTAACTCGGCCATGTCATGTGCTTGTTCAGAGGTTAACGTCTCTTCATCCTTTGACACTACAAACAACAGCACGACAAAGGTAATACTATGAAATTAATGCTTTTTAGGGCTGACACATATTCTTTTAAAGTGACCCATCAGTAAACAATGTAACTTTTAATTGAATTTAATTGAATTTAATTGAAAAATAATGGACGCAGGCTGAAAGCCACTAAGTCCATATCACAAAACATAGTACAAAAATATTTTATTGTCACTGGTTAACGTATATAAACTTTCCCAAAAGAGTTATTTAGAAGTCATTATCAGTAATTATTGTAAATAGTGTCCTTCAGATGGTTATCCAAAGGATAACAAAGGATAAAATACTACCACAAGGTAGACATTTCTTACAATAAATTTGCATTATCTTCCTTAATATGTTACATGAAATGATTTAGTTTTTTCCGTCTATGCTCAATACAACAAAAATATTAATTAGTTTATCATTTGTGAAATTACAATACCATTCTGAGGATGTTATGTTGAGCGACTGAAATTGGCAGGATGTGAATGATTCCTTAATTAGTACATAATTGCTCAATGGTGGTAAATAAGCACTTGGATAGCAGTCAGTTTAAGAGTTGGGTAGAGTAAGTGCTTAACTTTATTTAAATAATGCAGAGAAATACTGTAAATTGTACACCTAACTCCACTCCATCCTTCTGTACCTTAAGAAAACCTGTTTGGTCCGGCAGGTAACCAAATACGTGTTCTAGTCTGATTAGGCTCTATGGTGAATAAGTTATAATAGTTAAATTAACTGGGGGAGGGGGAGTAGCTGATTCATTCCCCGAGGGAAAATACAGCTAGCCTATTTTTTCCCCTGAGAAAGAATTGGCTAGTTGATTTTTTTTTCCCGCGATAACTTTCAAATAGAAATTACTTTAACTCTATACCAATATTTCTGAAAGTTACAAACCTGTACCAGGAGTGAAAACCCAGCAAACTACACGAAAACCTACAGCAATCCCATTTTACACAATATCCCATGCAACATGTGAATGTTACCTTGATTCACTACTGGGTGTGGTTCTACTGGCTCTACCCTGGGAGGCTCCACACGAGCGGGCTCCACCGTTGGTTTATTCACCACTACATACGCCGGATGTGAGGAGTATGCAGTCTTCGCTGGAACAACTGCAATAAAACAGTCAAAATTATATACTGTGAAGTAATTAATTTATTTATTGAAATTTTATGGTTTAGTAAAATACTATTTTGTTGAAATACCAGCTTGTGAATACATTTTTCATCAGCAATCATGTATTTTATTTTTTTTAAACTGCGGCAATATTCCAGGGGAAGTTGTATCCACATATTTCAGAACAGAATGGATAAACTTTGGCAGAATGAAGAAATTTATTATCACTATAGGTAAAATAAGACAAGACTGCTTTCAAGCAGTTTTTGAGGTTTTAATTTTTTTGCATTTCACAACTTACCTTCACCGAAACGTCCAACTTCCTGTACAACAGAAAATGGGGGGAAAAATGAGAAACTTTGTATTTTGTAAAAGATGTTCATAAAACACAGAAACATTGAAATATTTGAAATTTGATAAATTGAGAAACTTTGTATTTTGTAAAAGATGTTCATAAAACACAGAAACATTGAAATATTTGAATACGAATCAATAATTTTCAATTTCACCGAAGTATATTAATGTAGCAACAATCTACACCAATGTTTCCGAGATGTTTTGTTTCCAGCTGTAATGAGGCTCTATCTTAACCACAGAATGGTTGTTAGAAAGCTTCTATTAAACCAGAATCACCACGTTTATAATCACAGCATAAATTATTTCTACTTAAACATAAACAAAATCTATTTTGACCAAATTTAAACTAGTGGACTTTTCTTTTAAAAAAAATAAGCTTTTTACTGGTGTATAAACTAAATTGTCTTTCTGAGGGAGATGTTTTTATATGACATGACATGATGTGACGGGTTAATGTCATCAGGATATCAATTTTGAGCAACTTGTATCAAGTACATTATTCTATGAAAATGATGATTTTGTGATGTCTTCCTACTAAATATCAAATACAGTCAAAGGATCAGGGTGAACATGTCTGTGCAACGTGCTAAATATCTACATTTAATATTATTACCATACTGCCAATCATATATATATCAATTGAACGGCTGAAAAAAACTTGGGAACTATTCATATGTATTTTGAAAGCACTTTCCCAGCCTGCTTTGGCTTTCAATTTGATGATGACATGTTTTTTTCACACAAACTTTCATACAACAATATCTTTTGTCAATTGTCTAAGACAAAATTCCGTCTTTGCGTATTGCAGAGTTACCTTCTCTTGTGAGCACGTATTGATTGTTGCGTCATTGGTTCGTGTGAGAAAATTACGTCGTTTTCTCAAAAGTCGATGACGTTACTCTCACAAACAAATGACACGTAACAATCAATACCTGCTCACAAGAGAGGATAACTCTGCAATACACAAAGACGGAATAGGTAAATACAAAAGAACATATACGTACCAGCTTTAGAAAATCTGAATCGTACAGGAAACGGGTTGTCCGACTCAGTTCTTCATCAATTTTCCTATCACCAATGAAGTGCTACAAGAAACATACATTACAACATGTTTTAAAATTCTGTAAGTCCTCTTAGCTTCAAATTTAAGTAAAAAGATACTGTTTTGGAAGTTTAAACATATACTTTCTATAATCAACAGAGGCAATACGACTGGTCCAGATAAGATTGGAGAATGGTTTATCAGCAATATCACTAAATAAAAGTAGAGCAGAGAGTTTAAATTTGACTTCAGATATAAACACTTTTAAAATATAGACTAGATTAAGCATTAATGGGAGAACCAGGAACTCCTATAGAATTATAGACCTAAGATTTGCTAACGATCAAAGGAAGGCTACATTCACCTATTGTTAAATATTTTGATGTTATGATTTCGAGTCCAGGGAAGAGGATCTTTACAGATCCTGTATCGGTATATACAATTAACTTAAATGTAACAAAATTACATTCAAATTTTTTCATCAAATAATATAGATTTGAGCTGTGTGTAGCAAAAACTTCACTAATCATTTAAATACAACCCTTTCCAAACCTTTCCCTTAAAAAAAAACAATCTTAGAGTTTGGACCAAAGCTCATAATCTTTCACTGCCATGTGAATAAGCTATTTTAGCAGTTTAATTACATTCACAAGATTTAGCTTTGCCAAATATACAAAAATAACTCAAAGACGGCATTTTGAAATATTCTATACAGGTCTACGTAACTGTCTGTCGAAGAAAAATATCCTACTTTAATATCTGTACGAAGTTTGGCGAGCTCCTCTTCACTCATCGTCTCCGACCGATCTACCATCACTTTCAGGTCTGCTCCCGTTTTTTGACGGGATGCAAATGTATTATCTGTACGATAAGAGGTTTGACACATGCACATTATAAAAAAAAAATTTATTTTTTTTTTATTCCCTTAACTCATTCATGTTCATATCAGCCGAAACTGGCCTCAACCTTAGGTGTTAAACCAGTCTCCATTTCAATCAAACTTAAATTAAAAAAAATCATCCACAGCTTTTTGGAATAACTGAAGCCTGAAGACACATTGAGCAACAACTTGGGAACAAAAGTAGTTTTAATATCATATAGCTGAATTTCATAGAAGGGAATGGGCATAAGATATTTTCGCATGGATTTTAATAGAGTTCCAAAATTTGGAAAGTTTTCACTGTGACATGAAGAAATATTTTTGTATGCTATTTTGGTTTTTAAAATGCTTTACTAGGACAGACACAGCCAAGTAACAACTGACATTATTGATGGAGGGACTGACAGGGCTATGATTGTCATACCATGGTGTAAGCTTACATATGGCCCTTCAAACCAGATAAGCTGGTTAAGACTGATAATATCACAACTCCCTACTACTTACTAGCTACAGCCTTCACTTTTTCCATCTCCACCAGTAGGTCAGCCTCCCTCTTGTTGAGACTGAAGAAAAAAATCAATTCAGAAATACAATCTACAGGGAAATATAGCACTTCAAATCCCTTACATTTTGCTAAATACAATATCTATGAAAAAATAAATAAATCACCAATGATAATATCACAAAATAATACCAGGGAATTTATTTAACACGGAACATCTACTCTTAACTATTTGAAAGGTTCATTTGATTAAGGTCTCATTTGAAACATCTAACAATTTAAGTGTTTTGTGTGTCATAATATTTTACAGATTTGTTGCAAACCTGCCTAGGACAAAGTATCAAAGGAGATTCAACAGCTATGCTCAAAAATCATGAAAAAATATTATGACGTATCCCAAAAATATTTTTCCTTTATATTTATTGTCCTTAAAGAGAAATGTTTCAGAATGTCAAATTAAAAGTTATATGCTACTCACATGTGTGTTTTGTGTTATAGAAAACATTGAAATGCTATCTTATAGATTATACATGTGTAATCTGTTTTAAGAATTAAGACCACATTCTATCTTGTAAATCATATATCTAGATCTGTGAACTGTGTAAAAAGGTTAAATGCCACTTGTTGTAGAGTTATCTCCCTTTAACCATTTTCACCGACTTTCAGAAATTAACCTGTATATGCATTCTCCTGTTCTTTTCTCCATATAACTCCATATATTAAGTTCAAAATAATTATCATCAGGGTTATATTACAACTTTCTTTGATTGAAAGTTCGGAAAGGAGCTAAATGTTACAACATTTGCTTTAAGACATATATCCTGAACCATAGATCGAGAGGTCCTGACTTATAACTTGGAGCTAATCTTTCTTGTACAATATGTTTGAAAAGAATTAAATTTAGTTTAAGCAAAACTTATGTCAGCTACTTGAAAATCTTAGAAATAGTCTCACTTTAGCATGTACCCATAAACATGCAAGGACCTCAAACGATACAACTATAAAAATGTTTTAACATGTATTTGTAATGCTTTAGGGCCAAAGGTGTAACAGTTAAACCTACCATGTCCTGACTTCCTCAAACACAGACTTGATCCTCTTAAAGTTCTTCTCCACCTCCTCGTTCATTACCAACCTCAGCCGTTCTAGTGACACCGTCTGTCTGTGTAGGTCCTTCATTGACTTCTCCATTCCTGTAACATTAAACCACAAACTTCTAAACGACCAAATCGTAAACTTTTATCTCCACCAAACAAACCACAATCTTGTAACTTAATCAAACAAAATTGCTGATTTTTTTCCACTCAGAACCCTTTTCCCGGTTATATTTTGTTTATTTCATCTTTTCCATTTTTTCTAAAATATTCCACAAGTAATGGTTTTCTTGTCACCACGGATAATAATTTGTTAACCACTTTGAGACGGCATACAAACTAGGTTGTGATAAAGCGGTATATAAGAGCCTCATTTAATTATAATTAGAAATTATTTATCAAATCTTTAGTCATGCCAAAAAAAAAAGGTTTCTAATATGAAGAAACAGTTTTTGGCAGTAAGTGTTACAGGAATTCTCAGTATCATAATGACCAGTGACTCTTGTATGTTTTTTCCCTGGCCTTGACCTACCTCCATGGACTTTACGCTTGACTGGTCTGCTATCAGATGAAGGGTTGGATGAAGTACTTCTCTCACTAGCTGACCTTTGTCTGTTGGAACTTGAATGAGATCCTATAACAAACCACACAGACACAAGAAAAGAAAATTATACATGTTCTTTACTTCAAAGATACTGGACAAGCAAACCGAATATATCAAATTCCTTCTGGGTTTTTTTTCCTATTTCTCCTTTAAATTTGTGTCCACATCCATGGTCAGAAACTGATTAAAACATTACATAACCATAATATATCAAATGAAACTTGTTGAGTATTCTCTTTGGCAGCATTTATGATAAGTCGCAGTGAAACCATAAACATTGGTACAGCGCATATACATATATTTATGTTTTAACTTACTGTGCTGACTAAAAAAACATAATAACATGCTAAGAAATTAAAGTAGGTTTTATTTAAGGAAATAGTTTGTAGACATAAATCTTATAGTGATGAAGATATCAAATACCATTAAATTTTTAACATTATTTACAGATAAATCTTAGCAAAGAAGTATCCCATTTAAAACCTAAATAAAAAATATTCACTTAGTTAGATATATGGTGGCTGTGAAAACAAACAAACCAAGGTGTTACTGTTAACAAATTATCCCATTCACCCCTAAAGTCACATTTGAACCTTACCATATCAAAGATTGGGCAAGTCCAGTTCAAACATATAGCTATATATAGGGGTGAATGAGTTTATACAACCCCGCCTACTGACTACAAATAACCATCAGAGAGATACTGTAAATCACAACCTAACAGAAAGGTTGTCACAACAGACCTGAATGTAAGCGCTGCTTGTGGTGATTTTGATGAGGTTGTCTCTGTGGTAGAGATTGAGACGCTTGTGAAGACTCTGCTCCCTGGTCATGTGACTGGGGCGTGACTTCTGAAGCCCCCGCCCCCTGGTCATGTGACGGAACTGTGGAGGGTACTGCTCCGTTAACTGTACTAGCGGAGGCCGGGAGATCTGGACCTGTAATATGTTCGCCCCCTCCTCCGCCTGTTGTCTCTGCTTCTATTCCTAATTTGATTGCACATGTGCCTGAAAAGGAAAACAGGCATATTGTTAAAATAAATATACATTGTAAATGTTCATGTCTTTTAAGACTCTAGCAGACATGCTTATTATAAAGTGTTATGTACTCATTTTCCAACGTTTTATATATATTATTTTTCACCATTTTTTTCTTTGTTTTGTAACTTGATCATTTATGATTTTTTTTTTAAATAAGCAAGGACATTTACACATTGACTGTGAACTTATTTAAAACTATGGGAGGTTATTTCACACAGAAGTTTTTTTTTAAACTATGCTCAGGAATTTTTCATTGAAATTATCTTAAATCACGCTGGACTATTTTACACAGTGACATTCTATAAACCATGTGAGTGTATCTCATACAGTCGTTTTATATACAATTTATATTTTGTAAACACATGCAAGGTTATTTCACACTGAAAATATTTAAACCATAAAAGAGTATTACACAATCTTGAGGCAAGTTATTTTAAATAACACAATTATTTAAAATCTCACACTGTGACATTATTTAAAACTCTGGGAGGTTATTTCACACTGAAAATATTTGAAACTATAAGAGAGTATTACCAGGTACACAGAGGCATGTTATTTTAAATAACACAATTATTCAAAATCTCACATTATGAAATTATCTTAACCATATGGTACATTTAGTAGTGAACCCTTTCACCCCTATGTAGCTTTAGTAGACTCTACCATGCATTGATATGGATGAGTCCATTATGGTCTACAGTGGTGAAAGGGTTAAACTTCACAGGTACGTATTATGGTGCTATCTCTATAAATTTTTACCATTTTCGAGAACCCCATTGGCTAAAGCTTCTCCTATGTGATCTGAAACGTCGCCGTTCTGGGTGGGGGACATGTCATCTCCATTCCCCGTCTTTCCCAACTTCTTCTTGTTTTTCTTCTTTTTATTGGCAACCTGTAAATTAAGTTGACATCCATTAGAACAGTCATAAAAGACATGATGGGTATATATCTTACCCACCCTATGGCCTGCAGGTGGGGGATCGGAAAAAGAATACACCTGCTGTTACTCACTGCATGTATCATAGGAGGCGACTAACGTAATGTGGGAACCGCCTGCAGAATTTGGGATTTGCTTTGATGGCCTCTATTTGGGGACACAAAAGCAACCAAAATAAATCTGCTGCACCCATTACAATATTTGGAATCTTTGTCTTTCTTTCTACTTCTAACTACTATTTATTTCCCAGTGCCTTGCTTGGCAACACCTCACTTTTGGCTTGAATGTTGAGCGTACGCCCAGGTGAGGAAGACAATGGGTTCTGTCCCTAGGCCAGAACATACCAAAGTCCTTAAAAATGGAAGTTGTTATTCCCTGCTTTACATTCAGCATTAAGGGGAATGGCAACAACTGGTTCACCTGTTGTCAGTATAATGTGACTGGGCAGAATGCTGTGCTAGTGCCTTCGGCATGGCATTTCAGTGAGATAGCACTATAATGTCGGCATTAGATCCGCCCTATCACAAGGAGGCAAGCACACTGACATACCCCGTCTCCTGCATACACACACGCAAGCACGCATACACAACATAGCTGGAGGCACGTCCTTAAATGACCTTAGCTGTTAGTAGGACGTTAAACAAAATTAAACCAAATCAAAGTATATCTTACCACTTAAGGATCCCTGTCCCACTGTATTGTGTTTATTCCTATATACAGTTACCTCCCCTTGAATAGGTTTTGTGTATACAATGTAATTGTAGCACAGTTTAGCAAAGGCACTTCCATTGACCAGGTAGCTCAATCAGTTAGGACGATGGTATATACTAATCCAGGGTTAGAATCCCAGTCTAGCCCTCCTGATGATTTTCATTTAAAGCACTACCCTTACGGAACTTTCTAATACTTTAAGTATACTTTTTAGACTATATAAGTCAAGCATACTTAAAGTATTTTGATTGTATTTTGTTTGTTTCGTCTTGATTGTTTTTCATAAAAATCCCACAAGGTATGGTTCTCTTTTCTAGAACTGATTCATCAAAGCTTAAGCTTTAGTCATGTCATTTGCAACACTTGCAACACTAAGTCACAGTTTTTGGCAGTGGTACGGAGATCCTTAAACAGGTTAGGTCAAGTATAATCATAATGTTCCTTAGCTTGTACAAACTTTGATTGCATGTTAAAATTAAAATAATTATAACAGTAATGCAAGGTTCTTATATACTACTTTATCACAACCTAGTTGGTAGGACGTCTCAAAGCGGTTCACAAATTATTATCCATGGTTATATAGGGCCTTCGCAACTATGCAGCCAATATATTTCTCAATTACCTGGGGAGCATACAGCTGGTGCTGCCATTTCGGCTCTCACAGCTAGCATTCAACAATTCTAGTACTGCCCAACCACGTCCTCATTTACAGCTGAGTAGACTGTAACAATGCCGTGCCGTGACTCAAACCTGCAACCTTTCTGTCACGAGCCCGGCGTCCTACCACTACTGACTAGACTCTTGAGAAACATGATAAATCTTTGGAAAACAAAGAATAATGTTTCTCTCCCACAAAGACAAAGTCTTTCTGACATTATCAAAACAGCATGAAAATACAACAGCAAAGAAGTTCAGGATGCCATACTATAATTGTTGTCTTCTTCCGTCACTCGTAACTGAGGTTTAGTGCCTCCTCATTTTTATAGAGATGCTCCGAATAAAGGAAATATTACCAGCGCACAAAGGAAACACAATGTGGCTGAATCTATTGCAATTATACTAGGCCATGATGAATATGTTTGTTGTTGGCTTTGACTGACTTAATCGTATTAGTAAGTGTATATATGTACATAGACTGGCTATGCAAGCCCCAAAGTTTTTATGAAGAATTTTTGCGACTGCATTTTACTACTAGCTAATTATCTCCCCCTAGTTTAGAAGAATCAGACATCCAAGTGATCAAAACCATTAGAGTTAAAAAAAAAATCTTAATAATTCAACATTCTAGAGATGGGGGCCAGTCTAGCATGTATACGTACAATGTAGATGAAAAAGTAGAGGTTGAAGCAATGGTCTGTAATTAGGATAATCTTTCTGTAGTACTTACCTTGGGACCAGAGAAACGCCATTCTGTCAAGGCTGACTTAGCACCATCTGTGAAACACAAGACATTCAATCTTAGCACCATATAAAATATCTGTTTTACTGACTACTATCACAGAGTATGACACAGAAATAATCAGACATTTAATCTAAATGTTATCCGAGATGTTTGTTTTTATTTCGAGCACTGAGTTTAACGTGACACAGAAATATCAGATGTTCAATCTAAACATCATCTGAAATATCTTTCTTCTTGTCTATCACCGAGTACAAGATTCAGCTAACATTCAATCTGAACATCATCTGAAATATCTTTCCTACACTATATTACAACATTTATGAAAAAAAATAATTAATACATGACGATGATGCTGTACAACTTATTAATCACCATGAAAGGAAGGAAAATCCATCTACAAAGTTATGAACTGAAGTACTAGCAATAAGCAAGGCTTGTTAATTGCCAAAGATTTTTTCCTCCAATTTATAACCAAAATGGTGACTTTTCAATTTGTCACTACAAACATATATGAGAGAGTAATTGTCTCTCCTATCCCTCCAACAAAAGAAGGACATGTCTACGTATTCTGTGGTGCTATTGATTTCTATGGCATCTGTCACGCTAAAAGGTGAAATCGACTCAATGATGAGTATGATATTGTTGTCGCTCTGAGGTGAGAATAACTACTCAATAGAAATGCATGGTAGAATGAATAGAGCTGTAACATACAACATCCTAAATGTATTTATCCTAAATACAGAATGTCAGTCTATTATAACATATCATTACCTTCGAGATATGCCTGTATGGCTTTTTCAACATTGTAATCATAGTACTGCAATACAAGTATGATTTCGTTGTTACTTTTCCCCAGGACGACCTCACGAACAGCATTTACCTGTCGAAATAAATTAACAAGATTAAATGCTTACACTGGGAAGAAACATCTTTAGAGTGTATCTTAATATTAGCTGAAACATATTTATCATCAAACCTTATATATATGCAAATGTATTTTTTTCCTGAAAATGCCCAATGCAGTGGTGAAAATGGCTGTTACTTTTGACAAACTACCAAGAAATACTGGTATCTGCTCCTTAGTTTGTCTGTTGTGATTGAATCAACAGTGTCTATCATAAACTTTGCTCCAAACAGTACAGTTATACCAATAATAATGTTTATAAAAGAAATGGAAGAAAATTAGTAATACATGTATGATGTACATAACATATATGTGGACTAAATCAAGTAAACGTGGACATTGGTTTTTTAAGTTCCTCTGTATACATTTTTCATAGAAGCCCCACAATTCAAGGTATGGTTTTCTTTTCAGAAATGATAAATCAAAGCTATAGTCACAACTGCATGCGTCATTAAATTTAAATGTTGCATTAAAATAACATTAAAATACCCATTAAAAATGTGGCATGCTTAATGCCTATGAATTATACCTCTTAAAATTGTCTTGGCCATGAAATTGTAGGAATATTGAATGCATTACAAAAGTAATTCCAATCTAATGCATTATAAGTTACTGTTTTTGCAGCGGTACAGGGATCCTTAGTAAAAAGATGGAAATTGATACCAAGAAATTATATGCATGGCGATACATTCTACACCACATTACATAAACATTACATTTACAGAAATATGATAATTCTTATTCTATAGAAGCATATATACTGGTTAGGTATATACTTTGCCTCCAGAAAAACAGTTCCAAGGTGAACATGCTGTAATCAATAATACATGCTGTGTAAAACCTGTTGTGAGATCCAATCAGTAATAGACGATGTTGATAAATAAGTCATCAGATTATCTGGGGCCTATGTACATATGCAGTAAAACCTGATGTGTATCACATGTTATGTATACTGTATACTATCAATAGAATTATTTCAGACACCTATGCATATATCTCTGTTCATTAGCCGCCATCCATTTATATCATATGGTGCCCATAGGACCATTTAGCTTAATTAGTAAACATACATAAACCAGTTATTTAGCAATATTGAGGATTGTGTAAGGGAAAGATAAGCACAAGTTCACATTGCAAAGCGAAAGAAAATGACAAAGCTTATATAGATATGGAGAAAGGATAAAAGGTGCAGACGGAGACTAAGAATAAATTAACGTAAGGTTAAAGATGCTGCGGTTTTGTCTGCTGTGTAATCTGCTGAAATGCTTCTGTGTTGTCTGCTGTGTTGTCTGCTGTATTGTCTGCTGTATTGTATGCTGAAATGCTGCTGTGTTGTCTGCTGTATTGTATGCTGAAATGATAATGTGTTGTCTGCTGTATTGTATGCTGTATTGTATGCTGAAATGCTGCTGTGTTGTCTGCTGTATTGTCTGCTGAAATGCTGCTGTGTTGTCTGCTGTATTGTATGCTGAAATGCTGCTGTGAAATGCTCCTTTATTGTCTGCTGATCAGATGTTGTTCTGAAATGCTGCTGTACTGGCACCATCTGCGATCCTGGTGAAATGGCTGCTGAAACCCTGTTGTATAGCTCATTTATAATATCTACTGAAAATCTAGGCATACCAAATTACAACCTGTTTTAGGGTATACAGTTTTACCAGCCACATATTAGGTTAGAGTACCTGTACACCAGTTTCATTAAGTAGTACACAAGTTCTCTAGCAGTGTCAACACCCTGTCTACTGAAAGCATACTGTAACTTCAGCTGAAATCCTACTCCTGGAAGGCAGCAACAATATAAATCTCTACTATATTTTGACTTGGGCAGACATACTTTTAAGTACAGTGGAACCCGCTTATCATGATATTCTATTTGCCAGAGAAAAATATCATAATAACCGATATATCATAATAACCGAAAAAGCTGTTTTCGATCGTTTTTATGTTGTCTGAATCGGAAGTGAGATGCCCTATATTAATCATACATAGATTGATGTGGAAACATGGAAAAATATAAATACAAATTGATAAAGTAATTATTGAAATTATTTGTTAATTGTTATTTATATATATCAGCGTGTTGTATACATCCGAAAAGATTTCGTTTTACCGTTGTAATGATCAGTATGCAAATTCTACTTTCACTTCCAAATAACTTGAGCATATTTCTATTAAGAACTATCTTTGTAATAGAACTTGTAGATTTAAAACAATTGAAGCTGCAAATCAACCTAAACCTTTTCACCCCTAGGTAACTTTAGTAGACTCTACCATATATTGATCTGGATGAGTCTATTATATGGTCTACAGAGGTGAAAGGGTTAAAGAGACCAACATATTTTAAATACCAGACACAAACAATTTTCAGTATTCTTTTTCCGGGAGTCAACAGTATAGTGATACTCTAACTCACCTTTTCTTTGATGTTTTCCTGAGACTGCGGGACTTCTGCCATCACCGCTTTGGTACGGGAGTCGAAAAGGATTACCCCAGAATTATCTGTAAAATCATACAAACATCAGGTAAAATTCATGAAAACCTACCACATAGAAATGATAGCATCTGTCACTTTCATCAGCAACTGAACCAACTGAATTATGTCCCCTGTATTCCTCCAGTAGTATAATTGTAAATACACCTTATAAGATATATGTCGTTACAGTTTAAATTTACCAATCATTTTACTTTGAGCCCTGTGATTTGGCTTTCAATACACAGTACACTGATATAGAATTATTTTAGTTGATCTTATTCATCATAATGAGAAAATCAGATGTTATCCTTGCTAGCTTCCATGAACCTGATCACAAAAACAGGATCAATGTAATGTTAGCAAACCAGTACTGTGATTTACTGGTACGCTATATATATATATATACTAATTGTTTGCATGTACGTTCTCTTTGAACTCGGGGAATGATAGTAAAAACTGCAACTTTAACCAGGATGTCAGGAGCAAAGGACCGCGTTGAGTAAACATATATAATATATGTGTACCATAAAATGTCACGACTTGCACATACATATATTATTCGGCTCAGGCAACATAAGATCTTGACAGCGAACATGAGACCATGTACGTATACGTAATACCCTGCCGAAGACCTGTATAACGAATTTGTCATACTGCAAAGCTATTTATAGGTTTGGACTTGTGTTTGCCAGAAAACAGATACTGTGTAGGGCGGTAGTACGGGAAAACAGAAAAGAAAAAAAATGTATAATTCCATTTTTTTAATTTATAATAAGTCAATAATATGGTTTTAAAACAACATTAAATAACAACTCAGTTCCTTAACAACTCTGTGTGGCTTGCAAACTGTTTCACCATATATTGTTGATTGTTGACATTAGCAGACGAACGTTCTCCGGTGTGTTCGATTCGAATCTTCGAGTTATCTCCCTTACAACAGACGTGCATGCTCTTATGTACTATAAAATACTGTACCTGTTAATTTTCAGAGAAATTCCTACTGGGGTAACACATACAGCAAACTAGTGCATTTTCTATATTATTGTATATATCCCTCCGGAAGTAACCAAAATTTCAACGAAGCGCGGACAACCCAGCAGAATATTGCTTAAAGATATGATTTACTTATCAACAGCGCAAAATCATCTAAACTGCACCAGATTTTCATGCATAAAGGGACATTGTGTCAACCCCCTTGAGCGAAACTGCTTTAATTAAAAGATTCTTCCGTTCCCCCTTAAATCTATAAAGCCATGTCTTTTTCATGTCGATATATATAGGGCAGTACATATAGGACTGCCCAACCATAAAATGAATTTATTGTACACGAATGAGAAGGAAGAAACGGTTGACGGCAAACAAATCCCAATTGATTCAAAATGCAATGCAAACATTGGGTACTTTGGCAGGGTTATATATTTACCTGGTAAACAATCCAAGTGTACTTGTCAAATATAGAATATGCACAAATTCAAATCAGTGTGATATTAC